GGGGAGCTCTGGCGATTAGCTGCTGCCGGCACCTAAACCAGAAATCCGCTGACAAGGAGCAAAGCAGCTGACGGAGAGCCCACTTTTCCCAAGGTGCCGGGAAATCGCTGTTGCCCATTAGGAAGGGAAGAAAACTGTAAGGAAAAGAAGGTGGTAAAACAGGTTGCAGCCCACTCCGGGCGAGTTAGGAAGCCAAAGTGCTTTAACATCCTCCTGCTCTACAGGGAAAGGGTCTCTTTTTTCTTCCCTCTTTTTTTTTGGGGGGGGGAAGGGAGGGAGGAAGAAGCCTCCACCCCCTCAAAGGTTGCTTTTCGCAAGAGAATGAAAGTAAAGGGGGGGAGGGGAGATGCTAAGTGAGATTGCAGACTACACTTCAAGCAGCCAGTCTGACTCTCTCTTCCTCCTAACTTAATTCAGTTTAGCCAGTCAGTTAGTTTAATTAACTTTAATCAACTGTCCCCTTAAACATGACACAATTTACCCCTAGGACTGCAAGGCCACCGCCCCGGGGCTCAAAGGGGCAGGAAACGTTTTGTGCCCCTCCCCCCCCCCCCCCCTCCCCCCCCTGGAATGCCAATTGACTTGCATGGCCCCATTGAAATACATTACAGTACAAGTAGAGTTGCAATAAAAATGCGGAATGGATTTTCCATTAGGGTCTCAAGGCCCAAATACACTACTCTGAGGATGGAATGAGAGACCACGCAGTGGAATGAGAGACCCTGGGAGTAACAGAAGTGTTGTGGGACTGGAATGAGAGACTACGCAGTGGAATGACAGCCCCAGGGTGTGCCAGGAGTGTTCAGGAACTGGAATGACAGGGCCAAGAGTGGAATGACAGCCCCACGGTGTGCCAGGAGTGTTCAGGAACTGGAATGACAGTCCCAGGGTGGAGCAGGAGTGTTCAGGGATTGGAATGACAGGTCCCAGAGTGGAATGACAGCCCCAGGGTGGAGCAGGAGTGTTCTTTGACTGGAATGACAGGTCCCAGAATGGAATGACAGCCACAGGGTGGAGCAGGAGTGTTCTTTGACTGGAATGAGAGACCACAGAGTGGAATGACAGCCCCTGGGTGGAGCAGGAGTGCTCAGGGACTGGAATAAGAGACCACGGAGTGGAATGACAGCCCCAGGGTGAAGCAGGAGTGTTCAGGGATTGGAATGAGAGCCCCAGGGTGGTGCAGGAGTGCTCAGGGACTGGAATGAGAGACCACGGAGTGGAATGACAGCCCCAGGGTGGAGCAGGAGTGTTCAGGGACTGGAATGAG